CCTGTAGTCTCAGCTACTTGGGAGGCTGAGGCAAGAGAATCACTTAAGCCCAAGAGTTTGAGGTTGCTGTGAGCTGTAATGCCATGGCACTCTACGGAGGGTGACATACTGAGACTCTAAAAAAAAAAAGGGCAGCACCTGTGGCTCAGTGAGTAGGGCCCCGGCCCCATATACCGAGGATGGCAGGTTCGAACCTGGCCCCAGCCAAACTGCAACAAAATATAGCTGGGCGTGTGGCAGGTGCCTGTAGTCCCAGCCACTTGGAAGGCTGAGGCAACAGAATCGCCTAAGCCCAAGAGCTGGAGGTTGCTGTGAGCTGTGATGCCACAGCACTCTACCAAGGGCAACAAAGTAAAACTCTGTCTTGAAAAAAAAAAAAAAAAAAGAAAAACACCACTTGAAGAGTGAGGAGTTGCTCATCCAGGACAAAAAACAATCTGGTTGGCCAACTGCACTGGCTCAGACCTGCAATCCTAGCACTCTGGAAGACTAAGGCCAGGGAATCACCTGAGCTCAGGAGAACAAGACCAGCCTGAGAAAGAGCAAGACCCCGTCTCTAATAGCAAGGCATTGTGGCAAGTGCCTGTAGTCCCAGCTACTTGGAAGGCTGAGGCAAGAGTATCACTTGAGCCCAAGAGTTTGAGGTTGCTATGAGCTATGATTCATCACACTCTAACCAGGGAGATAGAGTAAGACTGTGTCTCAGGAAAAAAAAAAAAAGAAAAACAATCTGGTTAACAAAAATACGATCTCTAGAGAAATATACCCCCTTGGCCAAATGACATGCTCAGGCCTTACTATGTTCTGGATGAAAAACTCCTCACTGCCCTTTCTTTTAATTCCATAATTAAGAAATCTTCCAGTGATAAATCTGGCTCACATAAAGGCTGATAGCAGAGAGGGAATATTCTAGTTGGCAGATATGAGCACTTTGGTCACCAGAAAGAATTACTTCTACATAGTATTATCATTAACAAATTGACATGGTGGCTTACACATTAGTCTTTTCTGAGTTTGATTAGCATTAACCCTATGACTCCAGGGACTTAACAGCTAGTTTCTGCACAAAGATGAAGAGGACTTAGATTGTAACAGACATCAAACTAGAGCCACCCATTGAGTTTCGGTGGCCATCCATCAGTATTTCCTTAACAACGTTCCCTCCTTTCTTGCTGCCTTAAAATTATAACAGAACTATTCATAGTCTGACTATATGATTACCACAGAAATAATTATAGCATATGAAGGCTCCTCTTGTCTAGAATTTGGCCTTCTTATAAAAGAAACCCATTTGTAAACTATCTTGTTCTCTCTTCATTCACCCAATGCCTTTACCTCATTCATCCAATTCTCTCAAGTATCAACTCTTACCTTCTTGTAATGTTTGACTCAACCAGTAATAGAGTCTCAGTAAAACTGACTCATCTCTGACACAATTAATATAGTGAAGCAGCAGAGAGTTGTTTAGCACTGAGCCCATCTGAGAAGGCAACTGCAAAGGGAGAATAACTGGTCAGCAAAAGTATCCAAAAAGTAAAATCAGTCAGGGCAACAAGGAAATCATCATATAAAGAAACCTGACAGGCTTGGTGCCTACAGCTCAGCAGCTAGGGCGCCAGCCACATACACCAGAGCTGACAGGTTCAAACCCAGCCTGGCCTACCAAACAACAACAACTACAACCAAAAAATAGCCAGGCACTGTGGTGGGTGCCTGTAGGCCAAGCTACTTGGGAGGCTATGGCAAGAGAATCACTCAAGCCCAAGAGTTTGAGGTTGCTGTGAGCTGTGATGTCACTGCACTCTACCATGGACAACATAGCAAGACTCTACCTCAAGGAAAAAAGAAACATATGACAAAAATCAAAGCCATAAAGGTCAAATATAAATATAAATAAGCACATGTTCCAGTCACATACCTCTAAGCAATGAATGTTTTTTAAGAGCTGAGGAAAGCTCTGCAGTTGTTCTAGCGGAAACGATCCACTGCTACCCAAACAGTCATAAAGATTAATCTCTTTTCTTCTACATTCTTTAGCACAGTTATTAGAATTGAGCACTGGTATAACTGGGCGAGAATTCCATCTCTAAAGGAGAAAGATAACCCTAACCATCAGAGAAATGCAAATCAAAACCACTCTGAAATTATCACCTAACCCCAGTTAAGAATAGCCCACATCACAAGGTCCCAAAGCTACAGATACTAGCAAGGATATGGGAGAGAAGGGAATAGTTTTATATTGTTGGTGGGACTGCAAACTAACACAGCCTCTTCAGAAAGAAGTATGGCAAATCCTCAAAGAACTAAAAGTAGACTTTCCATTTGATTCCCCAATCCCTCTGAATTTTTAAGGCCAGGTGTAGTTACTCAAACCTGTAATCCTAGCACTCTAGGAGGCTGAAGAGGGTAGAACACCTGAGCTCAGGAGTTCGAGACCAGCCTAAGCAAGAGCACAACCCCATCTCTGCTAAAAACAGAAAAAAACTGAGTGGCACCTGTGGCTCAAAGGAGTAGGGTACTGGCCCCATATGCTGGAGGTGGCGGGTTCAAACCCAGCCCCAGCCAAAAACTGCAAAACAAACAAAAAAAAACAGAAAAAAACAAGCCAAGTGTGTTGGCACATGCCTGTCTGTAGTCCCAGCTACCAGGGAGGCTGAGGCAAGAAGATCACTTGAGCTCAAGACTTTGAGATTGCTGTGAGCTATAATGCCAGGGTATTCTATCCAATGCAAAAGGAGTGAAACTCTGTCTCAAAAACAAACAAAAACTAATATGAAACCAGTAGACAGACAAATACACTCCGACACAAGTGAAAAACACAATTAAACTCAAAGGGGGGAAGGGGAAGTGAAAAGGGACAGGGAGTTTGGTAAGCTCTTGCCTAACAGGCACAAGGTAAGGGTATGCAACACACCTCTTAAGTGAGGAACACAACTACAACTTGAACTTAACAAACGCAAACAATGCAACCTAATCATCTATGCCCTCATATCAATTTGAAATGAAATAAAGGAAAAAGATAAAACAATTCATCAATGAACTACAAGTACAAAAGCAGTTGTTAATGTGTTTCAATTAATGAAATCCGAATGTGGTTTACACAGAATGCTAGGTAATTAAAACATATTTAAATATCCTTTCCTCTAATACATGAATGATTATTTGAATTTAATAAAAGAAAGTTATATATGTCATTTGGGGTTTAGATACTTACTCCTTTTAGAGGAGGAACATTAGCTGGACCTAACATCTGCTTTAGAGGTTCTGGAGAAGGTCCCTGGTTTCTCTGCTTTACAGCAACCAGAGCCATCTTCCAAAGATTCTCTGAATTCTTAAAATAGATCTGCAAAGAATAAAATACGAGAGAGTAAGTACCCATAAGTCAGAGTAAAGTCTAAAACTCTTCACTAATTAAAAGTACACAGATTACAGAACTTTTTACAGCCATAAAAATCCATCTAAAGCTTTTTTCCTGATCAAGAATCTCTTAAGGCAGCACCTATGGCTCAGGGTGTAGAGTGCCGGTCCCATATACAGAGAGTGGCAGGTTCAAACCCGGCCCCAGCCAAACTGCAACAAGAAAGTAGCCAGGCATTGTGGTGGGTGCCTGTAGTCCCAGCTACTCGGGAGGCTGAGGCAAGATAAACGCCTAAGCCCAGGAGTTGGAGGTTGCTGTGAGCCTTGTGATGCCATGCCACTCTACCAAGGATGAAAGTGAGACTCTGTCTCTACCAA